AGCTTTGTAGGTGAAAGAGAGAAGACTGAAGCTGAGAAAGAAAAAAATAGGGCAGTTGAAAGTGAGATTTTATAACACGTCTTTGCTTTCTGCAGTCTGTTTATGTTGGACTGTATGGTCTGCCTGCCCTAAATCAATGCTGTAATTAAGAGTTTCTCAACACTTGCTCTAACCTGTTTATACTACTCTGAATCATTAAAGGCAGGAAAACTGCTTTCTTACAGCAATTAAAAAGACTTAATTTCATGAACTATCCTACCTATCACAGGGCTGGCTCTAGGCATTCTATATCCCCCCTTTACATCCCTATTTACTTCTGGATTATTGCTTTTCAGATGATTTGAGGATTCACGTGGAAGGCACTGATTCTGTCAGTTCTTCCCAGGAGACAGCTTCCCTTTGCAGATCAAACATTAGGATAAGGAAAAGCAGTCCAAAACCAAAGAAAATCAGGATGCAAATACAGTTTTTGATGGACTAGCCACTAACAGAAAAGCCTTTTTTGTTTGTTTGTTTCTACCGACCAACTCTTTCATAACTGGAAGTTAAAAGATAATAATAACAGCTGAATCAGAACATAAGAGCTTAATTCAATCTGGTATCTGAATTACTTGACCCAGACCAGTTCCAAAGAAACAAATGTAAGAAGGCCAAAATAAGCCTAGCTAACTCAATTAACATTGTATTAAGTGTATTTTTATTTTAAGAAATTCATTATGAAGCACTATAAGCCTACTATGACTAACAAACCATGCTAGTCTTTTTGACAGATAGGGACTATTCAAACTAGCTTGACAGTTGAAATGAAGTGTTATGCTACTGGAAAAAGGTTTTGTTGTAGAAACATTTTTCTCAGTTTAGATCAGTTTCATTTTAGCCTAATTGAGGGCTCTTTGTCTCTTAAAAAATGGAAATGAGTAGATGAAAATTGCCTAACTTATCTAATAGTTTAATTTTACATATTACTATCATAGTTAGAATTTAGTTTTGCCAAAATAGAGTACTCTGATATTGCCAGATTACTTAACTTTGTTGAAAATAGTGAATAATTTCAACAGTTTTAATGCTGTCACATCAAAAGAACTGTATTAAGGTACAGCTTCTTCATTATTTTTCCTCTTTTTCAGGCCTCACTGAAATAATCAGATAAATATTTAATCTACCTCCATAGAGTTCTTGCAGTAATTGCTTTTCAACTTCTTTATTAAACTTAAATCTGTATAAATTTGTTATCAAACAATTTAGCATTTTAAAAGTTGATATTTTGCAGCAAATCTCTTGGCCAAATTTAGGACTCAATTTTAAGCCCTAAATAGCTTATATTGCTTTTGGTGATTTTCATTAAGTTCTCTACTTGCCTTCAATGTGCAGTTTTACTTAATTCAAAATGGCTGGTGCCTCCAGCTAGTGTCAGGGAGGCTGAGCTCTGGCAAATCTCCATTAGCAGCAATCACTTTCCCTCACTTTGCAGTGGTGAAACAGAGTCTGCTCCCAGGAGAGTTTTCTCTTGGTTCAAATGCAGGTACTACCAGGTGAAGGTAAAAGATGACAGAGTGAGACAGTGCAATGAACACCATGGAAGCAGAAGGAAGAAACAAAGAAGGATCTATTAAAGGACGATAGGGGAAGCAATAGTTTTAGAAAAGAAAAAACTGCAAGAGGCAACCTGAGGTTTCTAGTGGAAATTGCCAATGAAAAGAAGGAAGCACAAAGATCAAGAAGGGGAAAGAAAATGAAGAGAAAAGCGGGATGAGGGAGAGTGAAGGAGGAGATTGTAGGGGATAATAAAGCAAGCATTTGAATAGACCAGCTGCATATCCAGTCTTGTTAAGGAGATAAGGGTGGAATGACAACTCTTCCTCTATCAGAGAATAAGGAAGGTTTCTTTCTCTGATGTAAAACAGTTGGTTATACACGTATTTTAGGATCACACTTTGATTCTGAGAAGAGCAGACAAATGGAGAACACATACCCCAAGCTGTCCAACAGACTTCTGAACAATAAAAAGGCACAAATCAGTTTTTAGATTTCAGAATCTTTAAGGAATATTAAGAGGGCTGCCATTATAGAATGGTTTGGGTTCTCATCATGGCTAGACTTCGCGAACAAAGATTAAGGAAGGCACTATCCACATTTATTACAGGCACACTGGTGGCTAATGAGGCCAATACGAGATAGACATATCCGACTGCAGGTTTGGGTTCTAAGGGACCTTTAATGACCATCTAGTCCAAACCCCCTGCAATGAGCAGGGCCATCCTCAACTAGACCAAGTTGCTCAGAGCCCCGTTCAACCTGATTTTGAACGTGTCCAGGGATGGGGCATCTACCACCTCTCTGGGCAACCTGTGCCAGTGTTTTACCACCCTCATTGTAAAACATTTCTTCCTTATATACGTCTACTCTCTTTTAGCTTAAAACCATTAATGCTTGTTCACTTATGCTTTTATGTATCCTATTATGTTTTTGCTTTTCATGTTAGGGAAAAAAATAGATTAAAAAAAAAAAAAGTCCAAACCTACCAAGTGTTCACTATATGGCCTGATATTCAAGTTTTGTCCAGTCTTGTCATACCTCCTTGTGCCAGTGGTAGAGCAAAGTAGCCACCTTTGTCACAGACCGTTCCTTAGCCTCAAATGGTAGCCAAGTGATCCTGGGTTGTGGTTCTACTTCTTCAGGTAAGTAAAGTTCACAGCCATTATTACTCATCATGACCTTTATCATAAATGGCAGGCAGCTAGCATATCTTTCCAACTACAGAGCAAAAATACAGAAATTGCACAAACCACATAATCCTAGAAATAAAATCAGCTTCCCTATTTCCATTCATAACACTTGAGAATAAATTTAAAAAAGTAAATATAATAAATATAAAACCCCAAAACATTTGGCTAGTCTAGCTGATCAGTGTGCTGGACAATAGACAATGCACTTAGTCTAGACCAAGAATAGGAACCAGACATGCTTGGTATCTAATATTGCTCTTACATGTCACAAACAGCTGTAATTGGGACAGAGTGTATTATGTTCTCTTCCAGGAAGTCATGCCCATATGGTTTACTCAAGCCACTGTACATCCAAGAGTCTTCAGCAGTGCAAGTAACACTGAATTTTATGGTCCCAAGAGTCATGGCTAGGCTTGGCGAACGAAGATTTGGGAAGGCTCTATCCACGTTTGTTACAGGCACGCTGGGGGCTTATGAGGCCAATGCGAGATAGACATATCCGATTACAAAAGGCACAGCAGAAAGACTCCTTAGATGGTGTATTCTGCAAGACACTGTTCTTTCTGCGTTGTCTTTTCTTCTCGAGAGTGAGGTCCCAAGAGTAAGTACAAAATAAATTTTCTGTGACAGGATGTCGACACCTTTTTCCTACCCACTTCTATACATACTTCCTATAGGGAACATTTACATCACTGTAACTACTTCAGCAGTCCTGTTTATATTTGTAGCAATCAGAAAATAAACAACACCCTCCCTACCTTTATGTGTATCCCTACTATTATACACATAATGCAACTTACAAATCCAAGCCTAGATGTTTTACACACCTTTTGACAACACTTTTCTCTCAACAAAGACTCTCAAAACCAGACTGATTTGTCCCTAGCTAAGGCAGCAGTCAAAGAATCCAGCATATTCACTTCCTCTTCTACCTAACCTCTATAGACATGTACATCCACCATGCAAATGCTTGGTCTCAGCCAAGAACAGATGTAGGTTCATGCAGCTTTACAGTTGCACTCCGTGCTTGGCCCTGTAAATTACTACCTTGTACAGCAACTGCAGTGTAACAAAGTTGTAATTTACACAAGGTATGAGGAACTAATTTCATGTAAGAAAACTTATTACTATTCATTAAAAATATAACCTGAAAAGCTTAAAGTTGATCTTTATTAGCTAACCTTTCTGAGAATCTGTAATGTCACAACAGCCTCTGAAAAACAAGACATTGCCCTTTGCTTGGGGAACATGACGCAAGGGCAGGAGACAGATACCCACGGTGGAGGTAAATGGAAAGGCAACTTCCCTCCAGGTGCTATCCACCTCTTTGCTCTCTAAAGGCTTTTCAATTTCTAAATTTCCAGTTTTCCAGACTGTGATGCTCTATGTTGACTTCTGAACATACAACAAATTTTAAAAGCACGTTAGAAGGACTTTTTCCCATTTGGAAGCATGCCCACAAGCCCAGCTGAGAGCGTCGCCATTACCACCGGCTGTCCCACGCCTCGCCCCACTCGCACACAGCAGCGAGCAGTCACCGGGCCTCCGCCGAGCACCAAGAGCACTTACAAGGGCGCTGGGTGCTTGTCCTTGTCATTGACAACAACCACACGGGCACGGACTAACTTCCCTTTCACCGTTCCAGCCGCCGCCCCTCGGGGCAGCCCGGTCGGGGCCGGCACCGGCCCAGGTCCCCTCCGCCCCGAGGCAGGGCCCGGAGCCCGGCGGGCCGAGCCGGGGGGGTCGCCTGCACCTGTCCGGCAGGGGCCGTGCAAGAGGATGCTCCTGCCCCGACGGCGTCCTGCGGGAGCGGGGAGGGGGCAGAGGAGGCGGCCCGGCTTCTCCCTCCTTCCCTCCCTCCCTCCTCCCGTGAGGGGCCCCGGCGCGGTGGCGGAGGGGGGGCGGCGGCCGCCGGGCGCGGACCTTCCCCCCGCGGAGCCCCCGCGGTCCCGTACCTGCCCCGCGCGCGGTGCCGGGCAGCGACTGCGCGACGGCGGCGAGCAGAGACATGGGCAGGGCAGGGGCACTGCGGGGAAGGGGAAGGAGAGGAGGGGACGCGCCCCGCCGGACCTTTAAACCCGCGCCGGCGGCGGGACTACAGCTCCCGGCGGCAGGACTGCGGCAGGACTACAGCTCCCGGCGGCAGGACTACAGCTCCCGGCGGCAGGACTACAGCTCCCGGCGCTCCGGGACACGCCGCCCGTTCCCTGTGGCGCAGGCGCTGCCGGGCACCGGTGACGGGCGGCTGCGCTCAGCGCTCAGCGCTCGCCGCTCTCCCCGGGCGCCCCGTCCTGCCCCAGCCACCGGCCCCGCGCCGCGTCCCGCCCGCCGGAGGAGGAGCCGCCCCGCGGAAGGGCGGATTTGCTGCCTTCCGTCGCTCCCCCTTCGCCGCCACCGCACGCGTGACGCCTTTGTGAGGCTCCGGGCCCTCGGCTGGGCCCGCTCCGCCGCCCGGGGCCATGGCCGAGCAGACGGGCCTGGCGCTGCCGCAGACCATGGACAGGTACGGGCAGGGCCCGGCGGGAGGGAACGCCCGTGTGGGCCCCCCGCGCCCCTGCGGCGGGTCTGGGGCCGCTCCGGGGGACGGGGCAGGGCCCGAGCCGGTGCGGCGGGTCCGGTTTCGCTTCTTTGTCTTCTAAAATGTTTGGTGGCCCGGGAGAAGTTGTGCAAGTGCAGACGTAAATCAGCGCAAGGCGGAGCGGTGTGGGGGGATCCTTCCCGAGCCTGTGGGCAGGAGGTGTGTCCGGGCTGCGGTGGGTTCTGGCGGAGGTGGAGGGCTGCGCAGGGCTGTCCGTGTCCCGGCGTCTGGAAGGGCCTGTGGGTATGGAAGGCATTGACGTGCACGTAAAATGAGGCACCACAAGACGACCGAAGTTTAGCTGGTCTTGTGTGTTTCGTTGCTGGTTTTATGATCTGAAGAAAGCTTAACAATTGATTTTTGGAGTGCTGTTAAAAAGTACAACCTTAGAAGTATTTTGACAGTTATATGCTTATAGTTATATGCTTAGTAACTCTTAAAATCTATTACACTTGCTTTCTCTTTATGCTTTTATTTGAATAGGTAGCACTTTCACCCTGTTCCACTAATTGCTTCAGATTCTTTATGTGTAATTTTGAGTCATCCAGGAAGCCCTTGTGACCTGTTTCTGCAAACGATAAAACTCCTGTTATTGCAGGAGTTGTTATAGCCTGGTATCTCAGAAGGTGGGGACCCAAAAGGAATCAGGCTTCTACTGATGAACCTGTCAAGTTTTCATCATAAGGAAGCAAAAAGAACCCTGGTGGTTTTTTCCTTTCCAGGTTATCTCTAAGGAAAGAGTATTTAGTGAAATACAGGCTGTCATCAGGCAGGTGATGGAGACATAAACCATGTTGGGCAGGGGTAGAACTGCAGCCTGGAAGGTGAAGATGAGAAGTTCCAGGTTGATGTAGAAAGAGGATAAAAGTGAGCTGGGGAGGGAGGGAAAGTTTTTTGTGTTTTAGAAAAACTGAAAGTGAAAGATAATGATGGGATGATTTAGGTTATAATTTAGAACTATGCCTGTCAAGGAGGCTGGCAGCCAGGAACAGCAAGTGGATTTCCAAGAAGTAACAGGGAGGTAGATTTTTAGAAGTACTATCAGGAAAGCATACAGTTTGATACACTTCCTGTGGATGTCGGGAATAAAAGGGAAGAGTTAAGGAAGACAAAGAACTGAGAGGAGAATGATAGAATTATCTTGTAGGAGAAAGGAGGGAGGGAGGAATAGATTAGGAAGAGTGCTGCAGAGTCGACTTCTCTTAAACAAACAAAAAGAAAATTTCATCTTCATCCTGAAGTTTGTAGTTCAGTAATATATAATATTTAGTGGTTTTGAGTTCTAGGAACCTGTAATATTTTGAGCGGATGCTTTACTGCTGTTATATCATACCATGAAGTCCTAGTTCACCCTGTTGGGAAGTGGCTGAAAGGTGCTGTGTATCATCTGTGTTGTGACCAACTGTTAGGTTAAACAGTTAATTTTAAAAAAGGAAGTTAGTTAACTAGTGGCCAAACCAGTTTACTGTTCATCAGTTACCTGTAACAGAGATGTGAGGTTTGATGTACACTTCTTGTATCCTTTCAAGTTTGTGAAATTGTAAGTTGTATCTCTGGCCCTTTTTAAAGATTTTTTTCCAGTATACTTGAAGTAGCTTGATATCTAAAACAATTGGAAAGTGTCCCTGACTTTCTTAATAACAAGGGCAGCAGGAAAAAATTTGAAGTACCTAGGTAGAGTAAAAGGAGGTATGAAGAGAAGCTGAAGCTTTTATATAAGAATTCATTGGGCTTAGTGTAGAAAACTTTAGAAACAGGAGTGAGAATTGAGAAGTGGTAATGGTAAGAAGGAGCCAAGTATTAAGGATTTGAATTTAATTCAGGGTGTAGCACAATACCAATAAAAGGATTTTGGAGTAACCAAGACCTCAAAATGCAGTCAGTATAAATAATTTTTTGTTTTATATTGGGTTTATGGGGTTACATTCAAAGAAACCAGTTTTTATTCATCAGATATTTCTGAAGGTCGTACATAACTGCTTTCATGTTGTTTGTAGTGATAAACCCTTGGTATTTTGCCTTGTGGGACATAACCCTTGGATAAATTATCTGTAGGGATTCTGAGGCATGGAAATGCCTCTTCTATCCTGTTATCTTTTTTGCTCATGAAGACAGTTGTTTTTGTGATTAAGAGGCAAAAATACATGTACAAAAGCTTAAGAGTAACTGTTAATGCATTATACCTTAACACAAAGTGCATACTTTTAAATGAAATTCAGATCTCTTAGTGAAGGATGCAGAAAATAGCTTTCCAGTAAGATGACTTTCATTTGAGTTCTAATAGTTAAGGAGGAGAAAAAGAAGGTTTTTTTCTCTGTTTCCACTACCTGGATCACCACTGAGAGTGGTGATGTGCTGTTGTGTCAGGAGTAAGGTGTTGCTGTAGATCGGAATGTGTGCACTTTGTATACAAGGGTCAGAGCTCTCAGAGCAAGTCCTTAATTCTGTATTTCTGAGAGAGAACAGTTGGCTTCTTCTCTAGACTCTTATATTCTACACCTATGTGATTACTGTTTTTTTCCTTAATACGGCATTTTGGATTTCTCCAGTGTAAGGACTGTCTTGATAGCATCTCAACATCATTGCCTGGGATTCGTCCATCTTTGATGTATTTTGTGCTCCATCCTTTATTTTCCTTGCATAATTTCAGTTTGGAAGCAAATCATGCATTTATAACAAAGAAGGTGTTAAGATGTTAGGAATTTGTTCCTCAAAATTTCTAGCTAAGGATTTTATGCCTGGCTGAAGGATTGGCTACAACGTAAATACAAGAAGCCTGACTGTGAAGTAACACTACATTGTGGAGTTGTCTTATTGCAGCATTTAGGAAACTAATCCATGTGATTATCATGATCTTTTCTAGCCTCAAAATTGGAATTTCCATCCCTCTTGTAATTTTTTTCTTCTTGTTCAGGTTTAAATAACAGTTCCAGATAATAGTCTTAAAACATGTTCCTTTTCTGCAAGAACTCTTTTCAATCTATGGTAAAGGGCCATGGACTAATGTCTACACTTAAAGGCAGGGGTTAGTGGTCTGTTTAAATGCTAAGATTTTATTATTATTTTATTATTTTTAATCCCTTTATTCATGTTGATTTAATGTATAAATTACAGAATTATAGTCATTTTCATTAAAACTTGAAATTATGTGGCAGTGTGTTTTTTATATGCTGTAATGTGAGCTGTAATGCTAAAATGTACTCATATATTTAAGCTTTATTCTCTTGACTTCAGTGGAAGTGTATGTGGATTGCTCTTGCAATTGCTTATGCTAAGGCTTCAGAATGCTGGCATTTTGGTTTTTAAAGCATGTTCTGTGGTAATGATTTGTGGTACTTCCTATACTATCTACATTAATAAAGACAACTTCTTCTCTCTTCCCATGTATTTGCCAGCTGGTCAGAACATGGGCACCATTGCCTTCTGTTATTTCAGTATTCAAATATGTTAGTTAAAATGTGATAAATAATCTGTTGAAGGCTTGTACAGGTACCTGCTGAAGAATCAGTGTAGTGGTAATTTTAGCATGGTTTAATTTTTGAATTAGCATGCTTTGTTTTGTGAGTGGATAGTAGTTGGTTCAGTTGTGGTCAGTATGCACCCTCCTTGATAAAAACGAGCAATATGGTACAACTTTTGTTATCTACCCTTGCCATTCCTTTTTGAAAGGAGACAATAGAGTTGAAATTGCAGGTAGACTTTAAAAGCAATTAAACAATAAAATGCAGAATTGTAGTTTGCTTAAGGAATTACTTATACTAGCAAGAGAGGAATACTGTTGCGATTAAATTTTCTCTTTGGCAGAGCACTGATTTATCAGAAAAATGCTAGCAATTATAGTTCAAAAGTGGCAAAATGGTAAATTCATGGGTTTTCTATTTCAGTTTTCTCAATTGTCATCTGATTCAATGCTAATTTTTTTCACAAGAAAAAAGCATATGCAGTAGTTTTGTACATCATTTTCAATTGTTACTTTCACTGCAGGTAGCATTTGAGGTGGTGTTTGTGTTGGTATGAATCTTTTCCTTCCCTCTTTGAAAGGGCAAGCATTGACTTAGTTTTATTGTCACCATTAACTGTTGATACTTTAGTAACTTAATACACAGGTTTGGCTTAAGACCTTAATGCTACAGCCTAGACGATGTAATTAGTGCAGTGTGGCCCTTGATTAAAGACCTTTATTCTGAACTTCTTAAACTTGTACTGGGTGTTGTGCACTGTGAGTTGTCTCCCTGACTGAAGTTGACACATGAGTAAGTCTTCGTAGGAGAGGAGTTCAACCAGATAAGATGGGCAGAGTAATAAAGAATAAAAAACACAAAGCAGGATTTATGTAGTATTTTCACTTTTCATAAAAATACCATCTCTGCAGTTTGTTTGTTTTACTTACACTGATTAAGCATGTCTCTCTTCATTGTCCTACCTGAAGGAATTGTTTTCTTTCTACACAACACAAACTCTTTTTTTGAGAGAGGATTTTCCCTGACTTCTGGTCAAAGCCTATCAACATCTAGAAGTACCTGGCTTTCTGTTGTTCCTCCAGAGTAGGTTGTGCATGCTTAGAAGGAAGGGAATATAAGAATAAAGAGTGGACTGTGCTGGTTAATCTCTACCGGAAAGGAAACAAGGTGTTTGTTTTTCCCTGTCTTTACCTTAACTGATTGCAAGCTGATACTGATACAGGATGGAAAAAGCAAAATCACCTTGGAGAGTGGGTTTGAAGAATGAAAGTTTGAAACAATGATAACTTTGTAGTAGCTTGGCTTTTGCATTAGTGCTTCATCCCAGGTACATTCCTTACTGTTTCACTTCTCTTTATGCTGAAGGTTCTATGTAGATTGAGTTCTTTCTGTGTCTTAGCAGTAAAGATGGTTAGTGAAGACTTAATGCAGACCTGTAGAGTGCCTTTTGCCTATCTGAAATAT